TTGCAGACATTAATTGTTTTGGGATGTCTTTGACCAGTGTTTAGTGTTAAAGTGCTGATATTGTGCCAGTTTTGCCTTTTGTGGGCGGGGGACAGGGGCATCAGTCATACTTTGGAAAAGATTTGATGTTCCTCCCATCAGGACAAGTCAGATTCCTTGCTTGATGATTGTTTTTTTTTTTTTTGCTGCCTGTGGATCAGGAGATACCTGGTGTCTGAGAGGGCCACATGTGGGATGAGGAGAGGAGACACAGGTCGGATTCTGAGAACTTCTCTTATAGTGGCTTCCAGGTAGGGCAGGTTCCCTCTGTCGCTCAGCGTGGGGTGCCTGTCCATCCCAATCTTACTGTCTAGCTCCTCCTGGACCTTCTTCTGCACCTGAGAGAAGACACCAATACAGCTGTTGAATCCAAATAGCTCTGTTTAGCCCAGGTACTGGAGAGCCGTACGCCTCCGGGTTTATAGAAGCAGCTTCAAATGGCAAGAGAGCAGAGTTCTGGACAGCAGGACAACTTCTCCCAGTCAAGAAACGGATTGATCCAATTATGTAGTTCATACTGGAGACGGAAAAAGAAACAGAAGGCTATCTGGGACCAGGGTTGTAGCCTCCTGGTTTATTCCACATGTTATTATCTCTGCTGCTGCCCTCCTGGGAAGTGAAGGTGTGTTATAGTCCGAGTATGATGTTGAAGAGTAGAAAGCCTCATCAGTCGGAGGAAGTATTATGTGGGCGATGATATTAAGGATTTAAGGCAGAATCTGTTTGAGCTCAGTTTATTGTATGGTTGCATTGCATTTAGTATATTTTCAGTAAAGAGATAGTTAGAAACAACATATACAATCATCAAAATCTTTTGATTAGAAAAGATTTTGTTGAGTACTGCTTTGGAATCACCAGCAATTATTTCTTATCCATGGCTATAGACTTACTGGCCATATAAAAAGTACCTGGACACATCAATGCTTAATCTACAAAATACATCTCATTAGCTTGGTAGCTTGGTTAAGGCATTTGACTTACAATAATAACAGTATTTAAGGTTGTTCTTTAATGGCAGTTTTAACTCTAGCAAGGTCCAACTTCAGATTCGTGGTACGAAGTTAACAGTTTGCCAAGGTTAACAGCTGTTCTAATTTGTAAATTGTCATAAAAAGAGAAACGACTGTACGTTCCTCATTATGAATTCAGCCTAAACGTGATGAGCAAAGCTTACTGACAAGAGGGGCCATTCAGCCCATCTAACCCACTTACTGCTAGTAGCTAACTGATCCAGGAATCTCATCCTGCCATTTTTTGAAAGAAACCCTTTCTTACAGTTAGAAACAATTAAAGATTTGTGCTTCATTGAACAATTCTTGTGGCCAGTATCTGAGTAGGGCCAAGTGACAGTATTCTGAATTTATACAGATGATTGCACAGTTGGCTCATTCTGCTAAATTATTAACTTCAGTAATGTGTGGGGTTCACAATGTTCTGGAGCAAAGGTCAGATTAAAAGTTGACCTAGGGTTAGGCTAAGATATCCCCTTAAACCTAATCTTCTGTTAATTTTACACCCATGTTTCAATAAAATGTTTAAGTGTTGTCTTCAAATTATCTGCATTTTCTTTTTGCTTTCTTAGTTTTGGCTGTGAGGACTCCTGATCTGGTTACCATCAATGTTTTACTTAAACTTTGAAATTTAAACAGCCTTAAAAGAACCACTACCGTAACAAGGTTAAAACGAATTGAGTTCTTTAGGCCAATTGAGTTTCTCCTGTCTTTTGAATGAGCTCGAGGCTCACCTGTGGGTGGTGAATGAGATAGGCTATGGCCCATTTCAGCACAGTGGTGGTCGTTTCCACCCCAGCCCCAAAGATGTCACCCACTGTCATGAGCAAGTGGTCGTCAGTCAGTCCCACATCATGGGCTAGAGTGTTGTTGTTCTCTGAGCTGCGTTTGGCCCGCAGCAGGGCGTCCAGCAGGTCCCGTTGTGTGCCATCGTTGTAGCTAGCCTGCAGGTGGGCACAGTCAACACAGTGGTAAGGTTAGGGTCAGGGTCGACTACTGCTTAACATTACCCCCTCCCACAGAAAGACAGAAAAATGAGTCTGTATTCATAATCAGGAGTAAATATTAGGTTAAACCCCGCAAACAAATCTCCATAATTCTAAATTGAGTGACTGAGAAAATAGCTAATAATACCTAACGTGTTAATGACTTAAAAAACAACACAGCTTCTAATTCTAAAGCTTATCTTCTGTAAAAAGACATTTAGTACACTTTTAAAGAACTGAAATATGGAAAAAAATATTTGAAAACAGGCCTTTGCAGGGCTGTTGGATGATTATTAATGAACCAAACTGGTAATTTTCTTGTGGTAGTCAGTGTAGAAATACAATTAAACTGGAAAGTGCTCTTTATCACAAGTGGACATGCTCATACTCAGTGCTCATTACTACTGTTTTATGCCTCACGGCACCAAATCTTGTGTGACTTGAAGGTTGGCTACAGGACTGCTGACTCTACCTTGTGTTCATCGTACTTCTTCTGCAGCAGGTCGTCTCGAACTGCGATGCACTGCTTCAGAATCTTAAGGTCTTCATTGGGGAATATCTTGGGTAAATAAAGGCTAATGTTAGACCTTGGAGTATAAGAAAAATGCCTACTGTAGGTACATGCAAATGGTTTTGGGAAATTTCACGTACCTGTAACCAGGGGAAGATGTCCACCAGGCTGTCTTTAGCCACAGTGTCTACAATACCTTGGCTGTATTTGAGCATGGCTTCAAATTCAGGGTCCCCACGCTGGTAGGAGTTGCTGAAGCAGAGCGAACACACCACATTGGTCACAGCCCGGGTCAGTTCGGGCGCCAGGTCGAGGGCAGTGCCCTGCAGATCCACCAGCGTCTGACACATGGAACTGGCCTCCCTGCAGACTGGAGAAAAGGGACGAGTTTAGGAAGGTCTATATGCATCATGGATAATCTTCCACAGTGGCACTGGAGTCCTATATATATAAAACACCATTTCAAAAACAATATCATCTACTAAGTCATGAACAGCATATTCTGAATATAGGACTCGTGTCTGATTTATATCCTTCCTTACTACACTTCCCTAGCAAGAGTTTTGTCAGTGGCAAGCATGTCCCGAGCAAAGGTGTGGGCTACTCAACTGATCTTCTCAACAGGGGCGGATCCCTCTCCGAACATGTTCAGTGCGGCGTGCACCATCTTGCGATGAAACTTCCAGGTGGGGCTGTAATTGGCGAAGGCAATGTCCTTGCCATCCCTTGTCAGCAGGTCTGTGGTCACCTGCAGAACATACAGTACTTAAAAGACATTGAGGCGTTTTCGCATTCAGCTGTTGCTGGCGGTGCTTGCTGTTTTAATTAGAGGAGTGGAAACAATGGACAACTGTTTGTTTGTTTTGCACACATGTGAATTTGCAATATCGCTTGTAATACAATGCCAGTTTATTTTAAAACTGAAAACGGTACTTGAGGACTTCAGGTAATGACTGCAGTGCATACAGTGTGTTACGTTTATAGTTGATTTTAAACTAAACTTTGCCATGTCGGCCGAATACGCATAGTTTGTCAATGGTGGGAAGATGTTTCGTGTCCATCTGAAGTGTTTCTACGGGCGTAAACGTTTCTATGCATCAGTCAAATCTTAAGCCATAACCCTAAAAATATAATATGCGATTTACAGGAAAAGAAGACCTCTGTAGCATCGTTTCTCGCGGTCTGTACCATCAAACAGTCAAAATAGCTTCTCACGTCTTAATATTAATTACTGAATAAGCCATTAAAAGGTATCAATTTTAGGAAAATGTAGGCTTTAAAATTCGTAGTCAGCATGTGTGAAACTAACAAATCGGGCGGCTATAAGAGTTGCCTAGGACAGTCTTGGTTCAGTTCGGAAGATCCGCAATATACATAATCCAGTGCCCAGCAAACAATAAATAGCGTTAGATGGAACGAAATTATTTACCCTGTTTATTTCTCCGAGGTCTTAACATTCTGCACTACCTACACTACCGTAAATCTAAACAACTAAAACAAAACTTTAATAAAATACTAAACAAAACGAAAAAGTTTTTTTTTATCACCAACCCGTCAAGTTAATATATGCACCTAGTGCATATGGGGTGTGCGGACATTATGATTACCAGTAATTACGACTATCATATGATTTGAGATGGTCGGTTGAAGCTCTGAGTCCTGGCAAAACGTTTTTTTTTATTCATTCTGTACTTATTTCAGCTATATAACTTATCACATAACATATAAACTACCGTATAAATTATTAAAATGATCATTGTCACAATGCCACGAGTCCACAGCTTTTACCAATAGGCTAATTATAATGAGATGTTCGTTGCACATCGTTCGCTTTACATACAGGTACTTATGTGCATGGTGTTGTAGGTCCATGTTATGCAATGCAGAAAGTTAATTTCTTCGCATTTTTGATAAATGTAGTTGATTGTGCTACTTAGTTTCGAAACATATATTAATATCCGATCGCGATTAATGATTTGGATCTATAACTCACAGTTCTGGCTCTGCCGGCAAAGGTTTTGCCTTTCTTTAGAAGCACCTCCTTGGCCTCCTGATAGTTATTGACTACCACCACATGGTGGGAGCCCATCCAAAGGGAATAGGTAGCACCGTATTTCTTCTGTAGGTCCTGGAAGAGAAGGTGCGGCATGAGCTCGCTCCTCAGGCTGAGAAGACTCCCGATGACGGGCAGGCAGGGCAAGCTGGGCGGACTTCTGTCGCCGGCCCATGCCCTCTCGATCTTTCCTTTTAAAATGAATACAGCCAGGGCCACTGTGACGACCAGCAAGATGAAAAGGACACACTCCATGGTGGTCAAGAAGTGCTCCAGAGGTACTCTGTCAGTAGTTGCAACGGGAGCGGGAATTTAATGTACTTCCGACGTTATTCACTGTTCATGCACGGATAATAGTCTCATCGGGTGGTAGGAGCTGCGGACTGACACCCCCTGAAGGGGAATGCATCGACAAAGGAATTTTAAGTGTTTCTCTCAATGTCATTGCCTTGACCACAGCCAATTGTTGCCTTTAGTCGCGGATGCCAAACGATACTAAGAAGCTGATAGTGTAGTTCTTATCACCAAATATGTGGGAGTCTGCAAAAATACACAAACTTATTATTTTCAATTATTCGTTTTTCAAATCGCACTGCAGTCTTCCCTTTAATCATCTATTAACCAAAGACGAAGCACCTGTAGGTGCAGGCCAATGAACAAACAACCGACAATCAGAAACAAAAGTTTGCTGTGATAATATGTGCTGTTAACGTATCGTTATTCTCTTCAAGGGGAAAATAGGTAACATGCAGTTTTCCTACTGTGATTACTGAATAAAAATGTGTTCAAATGTTTGGCTTTCCATTCATGTTCATAGCATGTATAGCTTTTTCCTTACGAGGAACGTTTGATCAAAATAATAGACAGCAATTCCATGGTAGGAATGATGCTGAGAACGTAACTGGAAGAGAAGAATAGGGAGAGAGTCCAGATGAGAAAGCAAGAGGTTCAAAGGATGAGACAGATAAAGACAGAGCAGAATGTTGTATGCCGCAGGTCAAAAGTGACAAGTGTCTGGGTTTTGTGTTATTGCAATAGATTCAAACCTGTCCTATTATGTTCCACTTTCTTATCAGAAGGGAAATGGACTCCATTTCAATGTTTGGGTGGTGCTTTGTGTTCAAGGACATTGTAAGTTTTTCAAATCTACGCGTAATTTACATTTAAGAAAGTGCTTTGAAAAAAAGAAAAAAATCCTTCTTTAACATTGCATTGGATGCAAATACCCTCAGATTAAAATGTCCTGGGTCAAACATGCAAGAACATCAGCAGTGAAATGCAATGTTCAGAGGCAAATTCAAATTTAAATTCACCAGCATCCTTGATGTTAAAGGAGACAATGCTTTAGTGTAATGTGTTAGTTGTTAAAGGAGATTGATCTGGTTTTGTTTTATTTTCAATCACTGTTCTGTTTTGAGTAGTGCCTCAGAGCCTTATTGATTCAGACATTTTACATACTGAAAAAGAACAGAGATTAGTTTTGTGCGGACTGCAGTTATTGGGTCAACAGACGATTATAAGAGGTGCTGGCTACCAGGGAACAAGATTTCTTATTTTATAATTGGGTGTGGAATGAAAAGGATTTGTATAGTGATCTCGTTAAGGAGAAGATCACTATCCAACACTGAAATGTAGTACTCACCTAGGTGATGATAACAGTAAGTCTAACATAATATAGTGGACATTACACTCAAGCATATTTCATTTAGAACTTATACAAAGTATACAACTATACAACTATACAAAATAAGTTTTCCTAAACTTAATCATATCTTAACATAAATTCCGGGTCAATTCTTGAGAAAATAAAGCTTTGTGTAGAGGATTTACATGTTTTAATGTATTTAATATAAAATACAAACAATTAAAAGCCACGGGAAATCAAAAATTAAAAATCCACTCTACATCAGGTAGTCCTTAACATTCTAAACATCCATAACTTGTTTTCAGTTGTAGCATTCATTCTTTTATTATAAACCAAAAAGTGGCGAAACAGCACTTTTTTCAAGATGGTCCAGTATTAATTATACTGAGAGTGCTGGATGACATTTGGTTTTCCATTTTGGAAGTAATCTTTTCTAGGCTGGTGGTGGCGCAGTATTAAGCACTACCTCACAGTGCTGGGGCACTGGGTTGAATTCCTGGGGTACTGTCTGTGTGGAGTTTGTATGTTCTCCCTGTGTTTGTGTGGGTTTCTACTGGGTGTTCATGTTCCCTCCCACAGTCCAAAGACATACTAGTAGGTTAATTGGCTTCTTGGAAAATTGGCACTGATATGAGTGTGTGCGTGTCTGTGTTTGCATTGTGATGGTTTTGTGTCCCATCCAGGGTGTATCCTGCCCTGCCTGTTGCTTGCTGGTTTAGGCTCAAGCTCCCCTTCAGTACTGCTGAAGTTACTATATATGTGACTTTTAATGTTATACAAATTAATCATGTTCATGCTTATTTGACTCATCTAAGATTGTATCAATGTTTGTACAAAACCAGACAAACTACAAAGCTTCAAATAATGCTACTCTGTTAAATTCAATATGTAAGGTAGAATATTAATGACAGAAGACGAAAGGTGTCAAATTGTGCCGGATTAATCCATAAACACCCAAAGTGTGATTGTATATGTACTCTGAAGACTATGATACATGCATGAATTATGTATTTCGTTATTTATTCAATAGAAATAGTGTGTCACTAAAGCAAACATATTACTCCAGTATTACTTATTCTTTTGGACAAGATAAGGTTATGATTATCCATATTTTCAAACAATGCTTCAGTGCAGGTAGGTAGTAAAAAGTGACGAGTCATATATTGCTGCCTGTAGGAAAAACAAGATGGCAAAAATGACATTAGACCTGTGCTTTTTCTACAGCTCACTATTGAACTGCCATTTCGCGATTTTAAATACGCTGTGCAGTTTGTCCCAGTTGTCTCACCGTCTTTTCTAGCTCTTCCGGTTTAAAAATGGCTTCTCCTGAACCGCAGCCCCGCTTCGGCCAGTCAGTGAAAGGTTTGTTATCCGAAAAAGTGAGCTCCTGCAGCGGAGACGTGATCGCTCTCACTCGTCAGGTCCTGAAGGGGTCTCGCAGCCAGGAGGTAAGGAGTCAAATTAGTGGTAAGGACTTCACATTTTACCTGAATCGGTATGATTTTGTTGTGTGGTAATGCCGTCTGCTTGGGCAAGCAGTAACTTGCAGTGCTAAATTGCTATTAATTAGTTAAATGCACCAAAAATATACGTCATCTTATTTATTATGTGGATTTAGAGACAACGACGGGCCTGCGCTTGTTGGCATAAATCACTGGTTTGTTGATGTCAGGGACTGACGTGACAGCAGCTGCCTCTTTTCATTTAGGTGTCAATTTGGGGATCAGTATACTAGCTGGTCATCTGTGGTTTACGTTTCTCTCTGCAAATGTGAATGATTTCAGAAAGACGTCTTAATATACAGCTTCTACGGTTTAAAACATTATACACCGATAGTGCTTATTCATATAAGTTAATAGATAATGGTTGCGGTATTTGGTACGAACTCCTCTCTTGCGGTGCCTGTCATCCAGCCACGTTATTATTACGAATGGTGACCAGATGCATTAATAATGCCAAGCGTCACAGAGTAACCTCTTGTGTTCTAGCTCCTGGGGCAGGCGGCGCGCAACATGGTGATGCAAGAGGACGCCATACTGCACTCGGAGGATGTAAGCTTGAAGCAAGAACTGTAAAAAAAAAAATTGGCTGTTGTATTTGTAAGTCAATGCAAGATAGCTAACAGTGGCTTATAAAATAGACTTTTAAAAGCCAATTTTAGATGAGGGGGCAACAAAGCTCTATTTTTAATTTAACTAAGCTAATTGTTTTTTATGTAGTACTTAATGTACTGGGCATTCAGCTCTTTTATTTCAGTTATCTTGAGCACCTTTATTCTAATGTGCAGCACGTCAACTTATATATGGGCAATTCTGGCAAATGTTGGTTAGCTATGACACTTGGTAAAGTATCTCTACAGTTGTTTTACTTATTTTCCAACTGTTTTAAAGGGATTTATTAGTATTAAAGAAAACTGTCATTGGACCATTAGTAGGAATAAGGTACAGAAGCTTCAAAAGACTGTATAAATGAAGCTGCCAATGCTAATTATAGAATAATGTTCATTATGTTTTGTTTCTGCAGAGTCTGAGAAAAATGTCCATTATAACCACCCACTTGCAATATCAGTAAGTAAGCCTTTACAGCAAGAGAGTTTGAGCAATATGTGAGTATTTGTTAATTTAATTATTGGATGATGCAGTTAATGTTAAACAATTTTACTTTTTATCAATCAGGCAAGAAGCCATCCAGAAAAAGTAAGTAAAAGTCTCTTTGTCACATATAAAATAGATGTTTTAGATCGCTAGCTATAATTCAGAGATAAAAAACAGGAACATATTGTACATACTGCTATTAAATGACTTTTTCTATGCCATTACTTTGTAATGCCGTTGTTTCATAAATTGTGTGACCTTAATTTTAATGTCTTTATAAGAAATAGCTGGCAATGCTAATTATTACAATTATTAGTTTAATGGCTCGATGTCTGTAAAACATCAGTTTTATTTTGTAATACCAGTATCTGCTTTAGTCTGTATTTTGTAAGCATTCTGTTATTGTCTTCCTTTCGTCTGCTTAAATGATGAATAAATACCCACTTTAAGGTCGGAGTTCTTTTTATTGTTGTAAGAATCCAAAGTTACTAATATAATAGGATATTTTTATCTTTTTACAGTGTTGAACACTCCAGAAACCTTCAGGATCAGTTAATACATTTGCTAAAATAAGCATGCAATTGGGAGCCATCATTCAAATGGGGCAGCCTTTGTAATACCAAGAATGCACTCAGAAGGAATTGTCACTATCCACTAGACAGGGTTGGTGGCATTTTACAGCCTGGATATTAGGACTGAGTTTCATCTTTCTGCAACGTTTTGTGGTTCTTCATGTTTGTGGAACCCTAAGAACCCAAAATGTTGAAATAATGCAGTTGAGTAAGCTTTTTGCACTATTGTTTTTTTAATCAAAAGAGCTAATATTACGTAGTTGTACTTGGTCCCTTGTGACATGGAAAACAGTCATGTCATTGCCTATGATGAAAATCTAATGTAAAAAAAAAAGAGCCAAGTTTTTTTAACAGTTGTTAAAAATACTGTGAGCACTGCACATGTCATAATTAGGAATTCTGGGTTTTGTCATGCTCTTCCTGTTTGGTTAAGGCTTGGCTGGGCTTTTAAAAATTTTCTCCCACCTCTTAAAAACATGTTGGTTGGCTTAGCTAAATTACCCATCTCACAGGGAGTAAGAGTGGTCCCTTCATCTTTACTCCACACTGTTGAGAGCAGCTTGGTTACTGTAGGAACCCCAACATAGCAGATATAAGAATCAGGTGAAAAAAAATGAAATTCTACAGTTCAATACACTGAGTGATTCACATTACAGTGTTCATTTGCAGTGTTTTATATTCATGGCAATTAAATTAATGTTTAATATTTGCACTATAAAGGTACAATATACACGTGAAAGTCCTATCAAATTCTACTGATCTGATGTTTCTGAACAATAAATGCAGCACAAGGATTTTTTTATGAAAGTTGGAAAGAAGTACTAATTCAAGATGTGTGGGTAACAGAAACTACTGGAAACATTTTGCTGTTGAAAACATCAAAGGGATCAAAATCAAGGCCGTTAAGAAAGTGTGAAGCTCCAGTTAATAGAAAATGAGGCTGATCCAGGGAGAAGACCTTGATGAAAAACATTCCACAGAATTTTTCCACAGAAAACCTTGTTCCTTCAGTCCCTGTCACGTGTGTGAAAATGCAAGCTTCCTCTCTGGCCTCAGATAAGTGTTTTAATAAATCGCATGAGGTGATAAAACTTTAATAGTTCTGGAATATTTATCTGCATATTATTACTTGTACCACTAAATACTACTGGAACAGCTTTATGCAGTGTAAGTGTATCTTTGGGGGAGGGGGGAATAAAAGTGGAATGGAAAAGGTGAATTTATTCTAATTGGTGTGGTGGTTCTTTGGAAAAACAGGATTTTTGTTTTTTTTAAATGTACATTTTCAAAAATATTAAGTGAGATGTAACTTGGGAGGCACAGTGGAGCAGCACTGGGGCCTTGGGTTCAATATCTGTATGGATTTATACAAAAATGATCATTCCTTATACTTACAGGGCGGTTTTCTGGAAACTCCTCTCAAAGTGCACAACTGTGTTCTACCCATGTTCATGTGGCTTTCTTCTGGGTGCTGTGGTTTCCTCCTGTAGTCCAATAACATATGGGGTATCTATTTAAGGTTAATTGGCTTCTGAGAAATGTGGCCGTGGTGTGAATGTGTATGCCCTGTGATAGACTGGTGGGGTTCAACCATGATCCTAAATTTGATGAAGTGGTTAGAAAATGGGTGGGTGGTAGATTTACTTCTCAACACTTACCGTGTGAGTAGCAATCTTCTGATGATGGACAACTCAATTTTCATTGGTTATGAGGGTTTACATTGTCGTAAGCTTAGTATTAAATGCATCCAAGTAAATACCCACACATCACTTTAAATTTACAGTGGAAATACCTGTAAATAATGATTTAGTCTATTTTTAGAAGTACATTGTAGCTAATGTTGATTTAATGATGATGATGATAATATGAATAAATTATTAAAACATTACTGTGAGGTCATTTTATTTTTTGATTATATTGCCTGTCCATTGCTATGAATCTTCGCCGATACTCTCTTTATGTGATGCACAAGACCTTGTAAGATACCTGAAACTAGAAGAAGCAGTTGGAAGACAGGTGGAGCTCTGTGAAGTTGCCCAAACTTCCAGCCAGCACAAACAATTAAACCCATCTCATTCGTTAGTGCTATGTGCCGTTGAAAGAAGCGTTTGTGCCGCTTTCGTTTCCGAGATATAGCGCCTTGTTTATCGGGGTCGTGACGTCACTGACTTTGACCTCCAGTGACCCCGTCTGCCGAGTTCAAGTGCTCTGTTACAGCTTAGCTCGTACCCTTAACATTTGAAAGACAATCAATATCCATAAACATATGAGCCTCCTTAGATGTGAATAATACTAAGACGTGATGCATGCCAACAAGTTAACCATCTATGACACAAACCTGTGGTTGTATGTAAAATAACCGTGATTTTAAGATCTATGGGTTTTATTTTCTAAGGCACTTATTCCTTTTCTTACCTTACCGTGACACGCTGTTGCCAAATGCGTAACTGTGGGATACCATCGCGACAAGACCTCTGCAGCATGTTATGATAGGGACCCCATGTATATCGCATGTATATCCTGGTAGTGTATATTACGACTGGCGCCTTGCTTTTATGTCACCCTGGCACCGCTGTCGCAACAAAGGTCTCATACCAGGACACCCAGATAAGACATGTCGCGATATATGTACTTTGTGTCGCAACATGGGGTCAGCTATCCTGAGATGGGGGGCGGGGCATATTGTCGGGGGGGGGGTATGCCATATCGCGATATGCGACATGGGCGCGGGGGGGCGTTTGTCATATGCGATGTGGGCTCTATGTCGCGACACGGGGGTGGGCGTTTTGTCGGAGGTACGCCATATCATATACCAATAAGAACATCCATCACCTATGTATCTACATGTTCTCGGAACTTCCGCTGCGGCGCTTTATCCAATCAGAGTGTCGAATCTCCCTCTTCACCCAATCGCGGCCCGAACTGTTCGGGGGTTTAGCCAATCACGGGTCTGAGAACTGTTCGAGCCAGCGGTGCCAGGTGGATCGCCTTGTTTACTGACAATGAGAATCTATTTTTTAAATGCTTTACTTATTGGCAAAATAACTACATCTTATTGATTCACCATGTCCCGCACTCTTCGAAGTACATTTTTATTTGCAATATAACTGTCTCCGCTGCTTTCTGTAATGAATACATGGTATTTGAACAATTTTAATCGTATATTTAAGGTAGGGGAAACACCTTCTGCTTGAATAGAAATGTAAAGCCTATGATCATTATATATTATTATGCTCGTGCTTTCAATTTTGGTTTTTATTGTTAAATTATATCGATCTTGAAACTAATACCTAAAAATGTGAATATGGGCTCTCGTGTTGTACCAGCGGTAATTTGGAAACTGTACCAATGAAAGGAGTAGACAAGAAATTATTTTCGAGAACATGGTTAAAAATTAAAAGAAAACACCTAACCTAATGAACTAACAAAGTAACTCCTCCTTAAATGTAAGACTGTTTATTCATGTAAGGCTGGGGTCAACTGATCAAAAGATCACGATGAAAGATCAGGTGGTCGTGACTTTGCTGTTTTGTACGTCACAGAGTGACGTCACATCCAGGAAAAGGCGCTATATTGAAATATATTGAAACATCCACCCCACCCGACCAGACAGACTCGGAAAACAAATTGTCCCCATTGTTTTCATCACAATCAGGAGTTAGATTACCAAGTTTGTTGTAACCTGTAAACTTCAGTTTAGATAGTCACGTGATTACCCGAAAACCCAAGTCGCCATATCTCGGAAACGAAAGCACCACAAAGGCTACTTACAGCGACACAGACCGGCACAAACGCAGCGCTAATGATTGCGATGAGTTTCGTGGTTTGTGCTGTTCAACGGGCGGGTGGGCAACTTCATGGAGCAGGACAAGCAAACATGTCTGGATCATGACTGCAGAAGACTCGACTTCACCTAAGGATCTAACACAGGCACCCATATCTGTGTCTTCAGAGGTCAAAGTGTGCCCTCATGCTCTATTCTACACCAAGGACTGGCCGGAAACACGAAGGACTGTGAGCTCATCGCTTCATGTTTGCCCATAAGACCCCTGTAAATACAAACACACGGATAATGACAGTTTATTAAAGAATTCAGATATATGTTCACTTCTGTTTTGTGAAAATAAAAAATACGTTTCCAGTATTTTTCCAGCACAATTGTTACTCTCGCACCAGTAACAGAGCGCTTGGACTCGGCAGGCGGGGTCACTGGAGGTCAAAGTCACCGTGCATTGTCACGTGACCACCGAAAAAAACAAGGCGCTATATCTCGGGAACGAAAGCAGCACAAACGCTACTTTCAATGGCACAAACGTAGCACTAACGATTGAGGTGGGTTTCATCGTTTGTGCTGTCTGTAGGGGGGCAACTTCACGGAGCTCAAGGATATCTGAAATGCATAAATGCATGCATTAAGATCATGAACTATTACAAAAACATTTTATACAAGTTTAATTGTTCGAATTGACCTTTCAATAAATACGAATTATTTTTTGTTTAAATTTTTCAAATTTAAAATTAAAGTGCGGGGATGTCGATATACATTAATCACTTTCGTAGATCAAAGTGTGACGTCACAACGTTTTAAGTGAGATATACCACGTCAAATATTGAAAGACACACAACCGAGTACTGTGGATTATAAAGAAGATTTAGCACCTGATGTGATTTATTACAAATCCAGTAATACAACATCCACATGCAAAAAAGCAAACGTAAGCACTTTGATCTGCAGCACTGATCTACAGTTTTAGAACTGGGTTTGAGAAGCTCAATATACCCTGGAAAACAGAAGAACAAAAAAAAAACAAATTCATTGTTATATAATAGTTTATTGCACGTTTGGGTAATTTGTCGCGACGTATTCTGGGATGGTTTTACCGGAAGTCGGCTGTTGCAAAGTGGTTACAGTATGGCGGAGTGTTGCTCAAAAAGCAGGTAATGTAAGGCAATACTTATTTTACTAAAAGTATGTATGACATGCTCATTTATATTTTTTAATATAACCTTAGTCATATCTACCCTTGCAAGATTTTTTAACAGGTGTCAATATCGATAATTTTAAGAGGTTTTCAGGATTGTTACCTATGATCACCTCAACCAACATTTACTGTGATTGCTCGGCTGCCGTTAGGTTCTTGCTTTTTATGGTGGTAACTTTATTGTTTAGTAGTACGTATGCCTTCCTCTTACGCTCACATAATCGACATATAATTATTTCATAATTTTCTTAGAACTGCAAGATCAGTCGCCTTTTTATGTTTTTTTTGGTTTCGGTCATTGCCTTGTCTACTAATTAATGTTACTACTGCTACTATTAGTCGGTATGACTACTGCTAATAAAACATTAGTAAATTATAAGACATGTACCGGTAATCATATATCCACACTAATACAATTTTCGTGTTCAGATTGGGAAGTTAAACACCTTACTGCTTAGCTTCAGCAAGTAGTAGTTGGTCTCACTGCGCAGTTCATTTACACTTTGCTCTGTGATCTTTTCTGATTTTCCTAGTTAAAAGAATCCAAAACGCCAAGCAAGTAAAGTTAGAATAATTAAAGATGAAAAAGGCCTTATAAAGTACTGTTTAGGTTAGTAGTTTTTGTTAAATGATACAAGAGAAACCTGACGATTTAGAACCTTTGCATTCTTTGTATAAAAAAGTAATTCCCCACCACCACCTCTTTTTGTAGGTTTCTGCCTCTGTTAATTATGCTTTTTTTTATCTGGCCAAAAATATATTTCTTTCTGTGGTTTTGGTTCTGTAATTCATCTTGTTTTTAATTATTTGTAGTGAATGCGGAACAGGATGTGGATCCCAAGGCATAGGTGTTTATGCTGATGTGAAGGTAGTTTACTATTTCTGGTGGATACCTGTAAAATTATATCATCATGATGAGAATGTTAGAACTTTGTAGCCTGATCACATCAGATCTCAGAAACAAAACAACTCTGCCCCTAGTCACCTAAACATGATTTCAGTTCTTTCTGAATTCAACTGCTTAATCAGTTTCTCGTTTGTATATCCGATCTCCATTGTACTGGGGCCACTGCAGTCTAATGGCTGCTGCTTGTCATTTAAGTGAGCGATGCACTACAGTGCTAGATCAAGTGTGTCCACTCCTATATGTGAAGTGTTTTAAGGATCCTTTGGGAGAAAAGTGCAATATAAAAATTATTATACTTGTCAGTATATGAGTATTTTGGGAACTTTATGTTACAATGCCATGCCTTATTCATATCAGAATGTTTATAAGTGGTGTGGGTGAGATGAGTAATCCTAGTGTGAATGACTGCTGCCCATTTGTCACAGGATCTGCGGTAAAGAGACCTGTGAAGTGTGTTTGTAACATGCTTTAGTCTGTGACAGAATTATACCTTCTGCCTGGTATATACCAATGTATTCTTCTATACAAAGAGGGTAATGTTTTTAAATGAACACGGTGTTCTGCTGTGTTATACTGTACCCACAGCACACCAAGTCAGAGAGTTAGTTAGGGCATCACAACTCTGAGATAGTATTGCTAAGCAGCAGAAATGAAGTACCAGGATCAGGATTGCTGCTTCCTCTTCACAGTGTTTAGATTCATTGCTGCTTTGGTTATGACAGATTAAATACTACTCATCTTTTGCCATTCCATGTGGTGTTAAAGCATAAACAGGTGTTCTTTTAAATTTGGTCTTATATCAGTCCAGACATTGTTCTCATTGGGATTTGATTATGTTGGGGATATTATTAGGAACTGTGGCCTAAGCACAGACTAAATATAATGGAGTTTAAAGAAATATATAATAAAAAAGGAATATAAAGAAAACCCTGAAATCCTGGATTGCAGATGGTCTGGTCTCCCTATAGGATTACTATGGGAAGCAGCTGAAGAAAACCTCTGATCTCAAGAGCAATGCCTGTGTTTCCCCAGCCAAACCTACACCAGCATTTATCCGCAAGGCCCTGAAGGAAGTGCACTCAGAAGTCACCAGCAGGTGGGTTGTGGTTGTGTGTGGATTTTATCCCAGATGTTTTTGTCACACTGGGGAAAAAAAGACATGTTGCATTTTCCCCCGTAATGTTTGTCCTTTTTGTGGTCAGTCATACTGATCTTTGCACTCACCTCTTACCTTTTCCCTGCCTGAGCTGTTCTCACAAAGAGGTTGTCCTACAAATCACGGGACACCTGTGTTGGGAGGAAGCCAGATCACCTCGTTCAATCTGCCCACTGCAGGTATTATGGGTGTGGTCTGGTGGTGCCAGAGTGCCTGGAGGGCTGTAGAGTGCTGGACCTGGGCAGTGGCAGCGGGCAGGACTGCTATGTGTTGAGCCAGCTGGTGGGAGAGGAGGGGCACATCACTGGCCTTGACATGACTGAGGAGCAGGTACTGTCCAGTGGACTCGGCCATGGTTCAGTGTTGTCTGAGAAGGGAAGGTGTTAGTATACTATTGTTTTACAATAGGACAAAGGTTGTAATGCACACGCAGTAGCTGAAGGCAGTTATCATTAAAACAATCCCCAGAAATACATCTGGGTTAGAGTCAACATGGTAAACCAGAATAGAAAGTCGATTTGAATAGAAACACATGGTTGCCAACCAGTGTAAACACAAATATTTAATTTGTTAATAGAAATTTGCCACAGGGAACATTGTTGCATCCTAGCACCTCTTTTGAATACAGACAATAAATCACAGAACAATTAGACAGCAAACCCTTTGTAGATTTTCTTCAAGAGAAATTCAAACCTTTCTTGTATATTCAGCCCCTCTTTTTCTGACAATCTGCTGGGCAATGATGAGACCCGTACTGTGCTGCATGAAATGGTGTTCCATGGACCCACTAGGGGGAGCAGCAGTCAGATCTGTTTGTTTTTTTAAGGAGAAACCGGTCCATCAGTGTGAAATTGCTGAAGCAGTGGTGGGCTTGTGTTGCTTATCCAGTGTAACAAGATGCTGCATAGTTGAAATTCATCCAGATTTCAAGTGGGACTGAAGTGCTGATTCTTTTGGCAGTAGTTATTTTAGTCATTTCATAATGTTAAAGCTGAAATCCGTAAGATGTAAATGCTTGCATTTTCGGTTAAGACAGATTTCATGTTATACAGGAATCATACTGGAATGCTAGCATCTTAGGCAACACATCTTAGACCTCATTTTAGAACATCTTAGCTTCACATAAAAATCCTTTACATTTTTGCAAGGGTAATGCTGTAATTCATCATAATGCACAATTAGCTCTTTCTTGCATAAATTCAGTGAACATACTTGCATTAATACATTTGAAAAAAGTGCACATTTTTGAGGCACAATGTCCAGTGGTTAACATTGCTGCTAACCACTCACTGCAGTTTGAAAGCTAGTGGTTAGTATCATTGCTAACTGCAGAAACTGTTTAAAATCCATTCAATGTAATAAATACATTTAGTTGGACTATATTACAGGCGTCATTTGCTTTCCTTTTCTATGATATGTGTAACGATTAAATATGGCTCACATTATTGCCTTTAAAACAGTGACGTATTCATTCATTAACAAATTCTCACCTAATATCTTTCAAGGAACACATCCCTTTTGTAAAATGAGTGCGTGGTCATTGAGTGGTCCATGCCCTGGAACTGTATGTCTGTGGTATAGAGGAAAGCATGATGAGAAGATTACAAGGCCGTGCGGTGTTGTAAGTGTGAAGAACCAAGCGAAATGCTGAAATACAAGACTCGGAAGAAACTAGTGCTTTCACAGCCGTTGCTCCTTGAGCGGGGATATAAGATTTGGTTTCAGTTCTGATGGAGTCTTGGTCTTTGGTCACTGTGTATAAAGTCACAGAGTTAAAGTATAGTATTAATCAATCTCGATATCTCCTTTTAGTTGGAAGTGGCTGAAAAGTACATCGACTACCACATGAAGAAGTTTGGCTACATGCATCCGAATGTGGATTTTGTTAAGGGATACATTGAGGCTCTGCAGGATGCAGGATTAAAAGAGAACATGTACGATGTCATCATGTGAGTCTCTTATTTTACTGGAAAGCCTGAGTGTAATGCGTACTATACAGAATGATAGTTTTTTCACTGCATTATGAGAGTTCTAACCAGAACATTGAAACTACATATAAGAATTTTGTATTTGTTCTGCGCAACGAAAAAGGAGCCTGTGAGCCTCACATCTCAAGAACAGTTCTCCATCAGATTTTGTTATAAAGCATTCTCAAGCTGGTGCATTTCACTTTTTAGTTTGGTAATGGCAATGCAGTGTTATGGTATCAGCATTGATGGCCTGTGGATTGTTCTGCAGATCGAACTGTGTGATCAACCTGTCTCCCAATAAGTCTGCAGTGCTGAGGGAAGCTTACAGAGTGTTAAAGGTAGGTGGAGAATCTCAAGAGTGTTTCCACTGGGTAGGAGAGAAGGTAGGTGACATCATTGTTGTATCGAGTGGCGTATGAGGTCACCTGAATTACCTACACTGTGTGAATGATTGTTTTGAGGTCATAGCTGGTTTAGGTATTAATGCTCAGTAGAATTTTGTCTCTGATGATAAAGGTATGAATCTAATCTCTCAAGAGAAAGGTCAGTAGTAGATGCCCTCCACAGTTTTACAAACCGTTCTTTTCCGTTGTTCAATTTGTGTATGGGAAAACATCTGAATGTCTTGACAGTTATCTCCTCTGAGGAGTGTAAGTGGCGTGTGTGTCAGTGTGCTACAGGACTGTTCTGTTTTCAGGATGGTGGGGAACTGTATTTTAGTGATGTCTACAGCAACAAAAGGCTACCAGAGGAAGTCAGAACACACAAAGTGTTATGGGGTAAGGGTAACATTAGTTAAACAAAGCATTATTTCAGTAGTTGGTGATGGTGTTATAATTCCAACTCAGTGGTTTAATTCATTCTTTTTTAGTCTTTTTTCCATTTAAATATTTTGCTTGATTGTTAAACCTTTTGAACCCAGGTAATAATATAAGCATGGGTAATGTATTCATTTTAACATTTGCAAGTTATGTGAATAATATTTTTAATATATACAGAGTTCCACCTCTTTGAAATGTTTTGATGTTTTTTTTTCCGTTCTTGGCACTGATAGACATTTTTGGCAGAGACTTGTACCTTTTCTAAAATGCACGCTAGCATGACTTAGAAAATGCTGTGATGAAGGTAGAGTTACTCCATGAGTTTTAGCTCCATTAAGGGCCACAGTAATGGAAATTCTTTCCCTTGTGAGGTGAATGTCTGGGTGGAGCCCTGTGGTGGAAAGACCTCCTGCTGTTAGCTGAAGAAGTGGGATTTGGCACACCACGACTGGTCACTGCCCATTATATTACCATTGGGAACAAGGAACTGGAGAGCCTGATTGGTGAGTTCAACGGGGGAAGTACTCAATCTGTTTTAACATTCACATACAATGCATCAGTAGGATAAGGCTGATAAAAACTCGTCCATATCCACAGTTTTAGTATTATGAATTCATTTTTACTTTATACATCTTTCTACATAGTGTAATTTGTCTTACTGCCACCGTACAAGTTTTTACTGTGTCATTAAACTGCAATTTTCTTTCCTCCACCTTTCCAGGTGACTGCAAGTTTGTTTCTGCAACCTATCGCCTGTTCAAGATACCTAAGAGCTGCCCGAGGGAAAGGCGTCAGGTCATATATAATGGGGCCATTACTGGCTTTGAGAAGATGCTGGAATTTGATGTGAACTGCACATTTCAGGTTGGAATATGAGTACTATATCACTTAAATAATCATTTGTAGGACACCATTTTTATTTGGTCCAAAACCCTCAGATTTTCTTTGAACATTGTTTTCTTTAATTCTGTCTAATTAAAGCTGTTTTATTATTTTATTTACCTTTCAGGTTTGATTGAATTTTACCTATATTATGATTTAATAATTTCAGATTTCACTTCACACTCCTGATCAGGTTTTCTTTTAATTCCCATTCAAATTAAACAAACCTTTCATTGGTGGACAGGATCTGTGCCTGTGACTGGAAGGTTGCCGGTACAAATCTAGCAGCCGGCAGAGGAATCCTACTCCATTGGGCCTCTTAGCAAGGCCCTTAACCCCAGCTTCTCCAGGGGCGCCGTACAAATGGCTGACCCTGCGCTCTGACCCAAAGCTTCTCTCTCCTCGTCTGTGTGCCTGTGTCTCTCGTGGAGAGTAAGCTGGGGTATGCAAAAAGACAAATTCCTAATGCAAGAAATTGTATATGGCTAATAAAGTGATCTTATCATATCATTGTAAGCAAAGGTCATTTTGTGTTCATATCAAGATACAAATGCAAGCCTCATCAAACAACGGCGACCTGTTTACTTGAAAGAGTCATAAGGAGTTGTCTCTTAACTTGGCATATCAATATCTTATTCCCCAGTGTTGAAGAATGTACATTTGTATTTAATTTCAATTTTGTGTGACTTTGAACTAATCACAAAAAGTTAACTTGATTATTAGATTCATTTGGACCTCATTATTTAAGAAATGTTATACCCTGTTGATGAAATAATACATTATATACACAGTGTAAAGGACCATCAAATACACACAATACCTATACTGTAGCTTAGAACAACTTGTCCAGCTAGATTTGGTTTTAGATAAGTGACAGTTGAATGTCGTTTAAGTAAAAACACAGATGTTTCTTTGGTCATCAACCCAGATTCAAATTCTTGGATTAGCTTGAGTTTTTATTTGTTTTCTCTCAGGAAGGTCAGGTGGCAGAGGTGGATGGAGAGATTGCGGCCATTTTGAAGGGTTCCAGGTTTGCGGAAGAATTTTCTTTCCAGCCAGTGGTGAAGACCCAGCCTGCCTCTACTGGATGTTGTCCTGCAGTATCGCAGGTGTGTTCCCGTTGAACTTTTCACATTTTTAGGACCTTAATACCTTAGCTGATCAAATCTAGATAAGATGGTGGGTAAAAGTAGAGACTTGACGTCTCTAACACTGTCTACCAGTCTTGTAATGAAGAATAACTGTTTATCCTCACTTTCAGTGCCAGGCCAGCTTCCTGATGCACTTTTTACTTCCTTTATTGTACCAGATGGAAAATTAGCCTTGCAGACAGGTAAAAGACATAACACGATATAAACTACAATTACACTATAATTAACACAACATGAACCCATGAACAATTTAAGAAATAAAAACATACATGCATAAGATGTGGAAAACAAGTTAGCAATTTAAACGATTTTAACAGTTTAGGAAAAAAATGAAATGGGGTTATCGGTATGTGAGATGGATATATAAGATGCGTGATTAAAAATAAATAGGGTCAAATAAACTATCATAGTGAGGTGTGATAGACTCCATCTCTGCCTGGGTGAAGATGGAATCTAACCCTGCCCATTAAGGGGATCCAGAGGTGGGGTTTAGAGTTCACATCCTGGCACTGTAAAAGCTCAGACTTTGCACTAAGCTGTGTTTCCGCTTGGTCAAGTTTTTCTTTTCTAGGCAGAGTTAAGTGTGGAGAATTTTTCTGTTTTCTTTCATTCTCACTCAACCACAATGGTCTGTACTTCCCCCCCTGCCAAGGTCCTTCTCTGTCCTGCAGTGGGGATGTGGAGCAAGCCAGCTGCAATCAGCCACTCCCACTCTTCCTCCACAGAGCTGGGGTAATACGGGCTGAATCTCCTGCCTTCCTGGGCTCTTCACCCCCACACAGCAGCGGCAGGACCCAGCTCGTCTCATTACTCCCACAGTAATGGGACCACGCTGATAAGACCACACAGCAGATGTGAACTAGATAAATATAACCGACAAAGCAAAGAAATAGGGTTTTAGCACATTTGTGCTCTGTATTCACTGTATCGCAAGGAGATTCATATTAAAGGCACAGTAAGGAGAGCCTAAAAAATTGTTTTGGAAGAGCATGAAATATCCTTACAACTTCTGTATAAATAACAAAAAAATTTATATGAACCAACACTTAAGATGGTAGTATGTACATATCTTAGCTGCAATTAATAATTTTACACCTAATTTATTTTGAATTGCTTACTCTTATAATCATTTGTTTTTTTTACTTTAGGAAGAGATTGGTAATGAAGAATGTCTTAACTTTATTGCCCTCTTTGCTCTCAGTTGTGGCACCCTAACATATTCAAAGTAGGAGGGCTACTGTAAATTACCTGATTTACCTGATTATACCTTCAGTACCTGATTATACTTGGTCCAATTTTCTAAATATAAAATCCTTACAGAGGTGATTTTTTAACTGGGGAAAGTCCTTGGCAATCTCCACATTACTGAGTTAGAACAATCTGACAATTAAGTTATAAGCCTTAAATGTCAGGAAACTTGTGGGTTCTAGAGTCCTGGGTAACATCATTAAACATGAGAAGCCTTGGCTGCTGTTAAAGTTGCTGGTCTGATCAGAGACTGGATGGACAACTCTCTTCAGTAAAGTAAATAAGCACTTGTTTAACATATTTACACATTACAAATGAAGGAAGTCTCATCTTGGACAGTCTTCAGAAGTGTTTCAACCTTGGACTTTGAGAAATACACTTCTGTAGGTTTTACAGGTGCCTTTTAATCTTTAGTGTTTAAAGATCTAGGTAGAATAATTGCCAATGACACAAATTAATAGTTGGATTAAAGAATACACCACAGGTAGATAGATAACCTTGTGAAACTTATGGAAGTATTGTTCATTTTTTTCTCGACTTTGGTGTACTTCTGGGTACCTACATACTGTGGGCAAGCAATCCATCTAATTTTTGTTGTGAATTTGGCGATTTGACAGCAATGAAGAACAACGACCACAATCCACCCAAAATTGTAATGCTGGCTGGTTGTGTTTCAGTGTCAGGTGGTGCTGCCCCACTCAGTGTCAACAGTTTAAGCTTCAAGGCCAGTCAGCTGTGTGTCCTAGAGATGTAACCTTGCAGTTTATTTCGCTGGACCACTTTTAAAGCATTAACATTGAGATTATACTTTTGAATTAAATTTTAAAAAGCTGGGCGATAAGAATCATTGATAAACTTGTCACTTGGCCATTACTGTATGTCAGTCCTGACAAGGCTAATCCTAGAGGTGAAATAGTGCTCTGAGAGAATGAAAAAGACATCTGTGCGATTGCAAACTCAACGGTGAGGGTAAAAGAAACGTACTGTAAATATCTGGTATTTTGGTATTTAGTAAAAGTTTAGTCTGAGCTTTAAAATGCTAAGTGTCACCCTGTGTCTTAAAGTCTTGGTTCTACTTCCTTCCATGCTTCAACAAGAAAAAAAAACTGATCATTTTGGATTTTGGTGTAGTAGTGTCAAGCACATTGGCCAGGATGTCCCATGGTCCGCTTTAGACATGGGAGAACTATAGCTGGGAGTCCTCATTTTTCTCCATTTTATTACTGGAAAGTGGAAAATTAAATTAATTCATCCTTTAATGTATTAATTATTTTATTTTGATAGTTCACTACGTAAATCTGCATCATGTGTCAAGATGGCTGCCTCTTTTTGCACTACAAGCTAAAATGTAAATACCTTGCTTGGTGGCAACCATGAGTTAGACATGGGCTATGATTATGCCTTTGGCACCTAGTTGAGTGGGTGATGCCAGTTGGTGCTTGTAGGATTTGTTTGACGCCCACAGTGGGACTTTAACAGCAAGGCACTCAGTATACAGTACCTAAAATTAATTTGTGAACCTCCTAGGATGATAAATATTCTTGTATATTTTAGACCTAAAACGTAGCTAGATCTTCATGAAAGTCTTAATGAAAGATAAAGCTCACCTGATTAAGTTTATAGCACAAAGACACAAGATATATTTGGATTATCTAATTAGTAAAATGATCCAATAATGGATATCATTGTGTGACTAAGTATGAGAACCATTAGATTCAGTAACTGGTGGCACCCCTTGTGCATCAGTGAATTCCACTAGTTTTCCTGAATCATTAGTCTCGCACTATTTATAAATGTTGATCCATTATTCCTTTCAGAACTGCTTCACGTTGGTAGCATTGTTAGGGTTTCTTTTCACAAACAGCTGGCTTTGGTCATGCCGCAACATTTCAATGGGGTTCAGGTCTGGTTAATCAAAAAAAATAAAATTTCTTCTTCAACCATTCTGTTTAAAATCTGCTTTTATGTTTAGGGTCATCAACCCACAGAATGACCCACTCAAGATTTAACTGACGAATGGATAGCCTGGCATTGTCCCCCAGAATGTTCTGATACAATCCAATTTGTTGGTCCATCAATGATTGCATTCTGTCCAGCAGAACCGAATGGTACATGGTACACTCCCACCACTATACTTGGTGCTAGTTATGATGTTTTTGGTTTGGAACACAGTTTGGAACACAGTGATTGTATTTTTCCAGCAAAACATTTCACTTTGTGGCCGGAAAATCCAACTTTTGAGAATATTCTTCCAGGAGTTTAATGGATGTTCTTTTTAGAGCGCAGCAGTTTCTGCCTGTCCTCCTAGGAAAGCCATTCATATTCAGTCTTTTCCCAGTGGTTGATGCATGAACACTGACATCTGTTGCAACAACAGAGGGTTGCTCATGCTTAGATGTTAATCTGGGGTTCTTTGTGACTTCTTGATTTTCTGGATTGATTTTGGGGAGTTCCTGGCAGTATAACTGGTCCTGAGTAGAGTCCTCATGGTCTTGAATATTTTCTATTTATAAACTGACAGTGGATGGATGTTTAAAAATGATTTTTAACCCTCTCCAGACTGATAAATATCAACTACTCCTTCCTGAGGTCCTCTGAAATCTCGTCTGATCATGGTATGATGTTCCCACTAACCTGTAAAGTTATGATCAAAGTTGCAACGTTTCTAACCATTAAATAGGACAGGCACTTATTTCACACAGACTGATTCTTAGTTATTAATTTTTTCACACATCAGACAACATTGCAATTCCCATAATTATAATGGGGATTCATGAACTTTTTCACTGCAGTGTGTGCAGAAGAATCAAAAGGAAGTGAGAGAGTGTTAGGAGGCAGAGAGGAACATTTATTTTATGCTCTGCAAAGCAAACTCTATACCATTGGCTATGGCTTCTGTTTAACAAGTACGGTATTATTATGGAGATTTCAGTCTTGATGGGTCAGTGGCGCCCCTTTGTGGACAAGTTTTCCTGAATCTTTGTCTTGGAGCTTTTTGGGTTTTTTTATTCTTGTATTTCTTGTGCATCTGTGTTTTTCATTCCCTCTGACTGTTTTGATCATGAAAAGCTCAGTGGATATACAGTAGATCATCTGCCATATTTGCACATGGTATACATAGTTTTGGGAAGAGCTTTGTTTCCAAAATGATCCTTTTACTATGAGGTGTTTTGATAGAATGTGCTGGAAACAATCAGTTTGTTTGTTTGAAATACTGGATTTGGCCTGTTTAGAAATGTCCAGTTTGCCTTGAATGACCACATATAGTCTAATAAGACAGTAGTTTACAGTGGATGACCTGGAAGGTGGTTGTATGCGCATTTTATTGCAGCTCACTCCTTAATTACCTAAAGCAGCTCAATGTTGGCTGAATTGAATCATTTTAACCAGTTCTTCAGGGGAAGGTGCTTTGAAGACACCTAGAATATCTGAAGAAAGAGTGTCCCACCAAGATCATGATTAGATACTACCACTTCAAAGAATTCATAACCATGTACTTTGTGTTTTTTAACCCTACGCTTTTGATGATAATTGCAGGTCATCTGTCCATTACCCGAAAGCCCCTCATTTCCTGATAAGGGTCACAGCAAGCCATAGCCTATTTTAGAAAGATAGGTTGTAAAGTGGGACTCCACCCTGGTTGACACGCCTGTCCTTTGCAGTTTACACTCAGCTCAGAGATAGCAATCGACATAGCCAGCATATCTTTTGAATGTGTGAAGACACTGGAGTATCTAGTGAACACAGGGAGAAGATACTTTCTCACAGAAGACATCCCAGCCTTGAATGGGAAAAAAAATAGATGTGGTCATCCAAGATCATGCAACTTTTTTGTGGACTCCCATATGGACAAATCAATATCAATAGGGAAGTAAAATACATTTTGTTTACTCAGCTGGTTTTATGGGATCTGCTGTCAGAATACCAGGGAGTTTTGGAAATAACACTTGGCAGAACCTGTCCACATTCTTTCCTAATTACATCCAAGTATGTTAACTGAATTATGGCTAGTACAATAGAACTAATGTCGGCATCAGGCCCGGACCTTTATCTTTTTAAAAGTAGCATTTGGCTTTACCTGCAGAAACTTGACAGTGTTGGCCAAGTATATATATGCCTTTTGCTGTTTTATAGATGTGTGAAATCTGACACATCTACTCCACCATTTGGCATTGTCAGATAACTCATACTTAACCATCATTATCGTGCTCATTAAGTTTAATTTGTAGTAGCACTACTATAGATGGATGCATCAAGCCAGCATCTTTTGGCATGTTATCTAGGTATAATGGATTAAGTATCACTGAAGTGGTATTCTTGTAAGCAGCCTCAGGGCTTGCCAGGAGTAAAGTGTAAAATAGGGGAAAGATCAGGAACCTTGTACAGGAACTGCCAAAGCAGAGAATGTTCCTGCTGGGGCCAGAGGCATGTGAATTTATCAAACATTGTAACCTTGTCCGCAGCAGAGGCAAAAGAAAGATAAAGTTGGTAAAACATTGAAGCCCAATTTATCAATCACAAGTTTACTTTTTAGTTACACCTTGTTTTCAAATAGCGTTGTACAGGTTTCTTTCGATTTTGTGTTATTTTTGTTTTAAAAAATTCATTGGTTTTCATAGTGTATACTCCAATAATAAATTGCTATGTGGTTTCTTGATGTATCTATTTGTCTTTGGGGTGACAGACTAGAGGAGCCCATTCAGCTCATCAAGCTTGTTTGTCGCCAAGTGATCATAGGATCTCATCTTGTTTTTTAATTCCATAGTCCCAGTATCTTTCTGGTGTCATAGTGACCAAAATATTACACAGCTTTTTAAATTAAACCTTAATAGTACGTTATGCAATTTTTACATAACATCCCTGGATAGAAA